AAAATGGCTAACATAACATAAAACTGGCCATTATGTAGTTTAAGCGTAAAAAAAGTGTGTTTAAAAGTCCAAAATGTATTTTATATGAATATTTCAAAAATCACCCAAAACACGCCTTAAAGAGAAAAACAAATAACGCACTAGTGTCCATAAAATGGCTAACATAACATAAAACTGGCCATTATGTAGTTTAAGCGTAAAAAAAGTGTGTTTAAAAGTCCAAAATGTATTTTATATGAATATTTCAAAAATCACCCAAAACACACCTTACTATAGCCTTATCATCGTGAAAAAATCCAAAATAATAAAACGTCCCCGAAATGCCTTAAAATGCAAGATTATGTCCTAAAACATGCTGCCAAGTGAATATTTTGTGTTTTAAAGTCCAAAAATACTTTATATGAATATTTCAAAAATCACCCAAAACACACCTTACTATAGCCTTATCATCGTGAAAAAATCCAAAATAATAAAAAGTCCCCGAAATTGCCTTGACCTTTATTATGAGAAACATGCAGGGATAGATGACATTTTAAATAAATCATTTTACAAACATTTTTGTCATTTTTTTTCTAGTTTTTGACCAAAAATGTCCACAAAAGCCCACATTTTTTTTTAAATGTTATTTAAATGCCCTAATTTTATGAGATACATGCAGGAAAAGATAACATTTTGAAAATTAATTTCATCAAAATTCTTTCGTTTATGACCAGAAATGCCACGAAAAGTTCACATTTTCACAAAATATTTTACATAAAAATTTTTTTGGAAACTGATCACTAAATACCCTAATTTAATGAGAAATTTTATGATCAAAAGGTGACGTACCAAACAAGTACATTTTTCTGAATTTTAACAACAGAAATGGACATAGCTGAGTATTTTAATGGATGTTACACACTTAGTACCTGAAGTACATGCTCAGACTTTCCAAAGCCGAAGTGACAAGTTAAACTCTGTGCGCCTTTTTCATCACGGATCTCCGGGCAAGCAGAGAACCAGGGTTTCTCATTTCTGCTCTGCTGAGTCCACATTAAAATAAAAGTCTCTGTGGTTACTGTCAGTGAGTGGGCCGTGGCGCTACACAGAGCTAGCTCTTCGCTATAGTGCAGCAGTGATGATTCATCACTGCTGTGTGTCATCGTTAGAGGCTTGCTGAACCTTCTGGTTTAGAAGTTCTAACTTGAGACTGAACCAGGACATGGTGTTTTTAGCTCAGATGAAATGGAGCCAATACACAGTCCACACAGTCAACAGTTTAGTGACGCAGCGTAAAATGTGTCTTCAAATACTTCCAGTTACACAACTCAGCATTTGGTATCCCAGATGGTAACATCTGAATTTTCCTGACAGCACACCAATGTAACATCATGTGAAGCTGAAATAAAGAAATGAAATAAGTCTGCAGGATAGATGAAAACTGACTTAAAAAAACAGTCCAAGTTTACAAGGCGTGGTGTTCGCATAGAGTAGACAGAGAGAGAGTATGAGTTTCCTGCAGGTTGGAGGAGTTTTAGAAGGAGGTGAAAGGGCGAGAGAGTGAGAGAGAAGTGTTCCACCGTCTGAAGATGGAGCTCGCTCTCTCACACTGGAGCAAAAGCGTGGCCTTTACACAGGGGCTTATCCTTCTTGGAGTAGAACGTCTTCCCCTCCAGGTTGATTTGGCAGAGCTTTAAAGATGAAAGGAGACAGACAGACAAACAGACAGACAGAGTTTGAGTCCAGGGTGAAGTAGATATCAGACCTGGAGACTGCAGATGTGAACCTACACTTTTCTCCAGGTCCAAGCAGAGATGTTGTTTACCTGACAGCATTGACTTTCTCAATTCTTTGCAGAAAAAAAAAGAAAAAGTAAAGAAAAGGAGAAGTTGACAGGCGGAGGAGACGGGGTAAAGAGAGACAGAGGGGGAGAGAAACTCTGGGTCCAGAGATGGAGGCAGAGATTTCAGGTGATGCCGAGCTGGAAAGAGTCAGAGATGGGGGCAAATAGAGCCCCCACAGGAGGCCGTATCAATCAAAATGACTTACAGCACAGACGAAGCACGTATCATGCCAGCTGTAGCCCAGGGCCTCCAGGAACCGATCCCCCGCATCAATCTTGAAGTCACAGCCATGACATTTGGTGCCAAACATTGTCTCATAGTCTGGAGAAAGAGATGAGAAAAAGGAGAGGTATTGGAGACAGGATGGTGACACAAATACGCCTGGAACCATTAAAATAAAACAGAGAATCATCAGAGACTCTGTTGTCCTTAAAGTCAAGCTGAATTTCATCTTAAAATCATCAACAGGAAGTGCTCACATCACAGCTTTAAGTCTGACATTGTGGACAAATAAAACAACTGCAGCTGCCCAACACACACACACACGCAGACACACACACAGTCACACACATGCACACACACATGCACACACACAGTCACACGCACACAGACACACACACAGTCACACACATGCACACAAGGAGGTGAAGGTGATGGAGGAGGAGTAGGTGGAGGAGGAGGTGAAGGAGGACGAGGAGGAGGAGTAGGTGATGGAGGAGGAGTAGGTGATGGAAGAGGAGAAGGAGGAGGTGAAGGATATAAGAAAATAAGTTTCTCAAAAATGACTAAAAATAGACTCATTTGCCTTAAAATACTTAGCTATATCCATTTCTGTTGTTAAAATTCAGAAAAAATTAACTTTTTTGGTACGTCAACTTTTGATCACAGTAGAATCCTATACCACTAAATTCCTGAACAAATCTCCGGAAAAAAAAGTTTCTCAAAAATGACTAAAAATACACTCATTTGCCTTAAAATACTTAGCTATGTCCATTTCTGTTGTTAAAATTCAGAAAAAATAAACTTTTTTGGTACGTCAACTTTTGATCACAGTAGAATCCTATACCACTAAATTCCTGAACAAATCTCCGGAAAAAAAAGTTTCTCAAAAATGACTAAAAATACACTCATTTGCCTTAAAATACTTAGCTATGTCCATTTCTGTTGTTAAAATTCAGAAAAAATAAACTTTTTTGGTACGTCAACTTTTGATCACAGTAGAATCCTATACCACTAAATTCCTGAACAAATCTCCGGAAAAAAAAGTTTCTCAAAAATGACTAAAAATACACTCATTTGCCTTAAAATACTTAGCTATGTCCATTTCTGTTGTTAAAATTCAGAAAAAATAAACTTTTTTGGTACGTCAACTTTTGATCACAGTAGAATCCTATACCACTAAATTCCTGAACAAATCTCCGGAAAAAAAAGTTTCTCAAAAATGACTAAAAATACACTCATTTGCCTTAAAATACTTAGCTATGTCCATTTCTGTTGTTAAAATTCAGAAAAAATAAACTTTTTTGGTACGTCAACTTTTGATCACAGTAGAATCCTATACCACTAAATTCCTGAACAAATCTCCGGAAAAAAAAGTTTCTCAAAAATGACTAAAAATACACTCATTTGCCTTAAAATACTTAGCTATGTCCATTTCTGTTGTTAAAATTCAGAAAAAATAAACTTTTTTGGTACGTCAACTTTTGATCACAGTAGAATCCTATACCACTAAATTCCTGAACAAATCTCCGGAAAAAAAAGTTTCTCAAAAATGACTAAAAATACACTCATTTGCCTTAAAATACTTAGCTATGTCCATTTCTGTTGTTAAAATTCAGAAAAAATAAACTTTTTTGGTACGTCAACTTTTGATCACAGTAGAATCCTATACCACTAAATTCCTGAACAAATCTCCGGAAAAAAAAGTTTCTCAAAAATGACTAAAAATACACTCATTTGCCTTAAAATACTTAGCTATGTCCATTTCTGTTGTTAAAATTCAGAAAAAATAAACTTTTTTGGTACGTCAACTTTTGATCACAGTAGAATCCTATACCACTAAATTCCTGAACAAATCTCCGGAAAAAAAAGTTTCTCAAAAATGACTAAAAATACACTCATTTGCCTTAAAATACTTAGCTATGTCCATTTCTGTTGTTAAAATTCAGAAAAAATAAACTTTTTTGGTACGTCAACTTTTGATCACAGTAGAATCCTATACCACTAAATTCCTGAACAAATCTCCGGAAAAAAAAGTTTCTCAAAAATGACTAAAAATACACTCATTTGCCTTAAAATACTTAGCTATGTCCATTTCTGTTGTTAAAATTCAGAAAAAATAAACTTTTTTGGTACGTCAACTTTTGATCACAGTAGAATCCTATACCACTAAATTCCTGAACAAATCTCCGGAAAAAAAAGTTTCTCAAAAATGACTAAAAATACACTCATTTGCCTTAAAATACTTAGCTATGTCCATTTCTGTTGTTAAAATTCAGAAAAAATAAACTTTTTTGGTACGTCAACTTTTGATCACAGTAGAATCCTATACCACTAAATTCCTGAACAAATCTCCGGAAAAAAAAGTTTCTCAAAAATGACTAAAAATACACTCATTTGCCTTAAAATACTTAGCTATGTCCATTTCTGTTGTTAAAATTCAGAAAAAATAAACTTTTTTGGTACGTCAACTTTTGATCACAGTAGAATCCTATACCACTAAATTCCTGAACAAATCTCCGGAAAAAAAAGTTTCTCAAAAATGACTAAAAATACACTCATTTGCCTTAAAATACTTAGCTATGTCCATTTCTGTTGTTAAAATTCAGAAAAAATAAACTTTTTTGGTACGTCAACTTTTGATCACAGTAGAATCCTATACCACTAAATTCCTGAACAAATCTCCGGAAAAAAAAGTTTCTCAAAAATGACTAAAAATACACTCATTTGCCTTAAAATACTTAGCTATGTCCATTTCTGTTGTTAAAATTCAGAAAAAATAAACTTTTTTGGTACGTCAACTTTTGATCACAGTAGAATCCTATACCACTAAATTCCTGAACAAATCTCCGGAAAAAAAAGTTTCTCAAAAATGACTAAAAATACACTCATTTGCCTTAAAATACTTAGCTATGTCCATTTCTGTTGTTAAAATTCAGAAAAAATAAACTTTTTTGGTACGTCAACTTTTGATCACAGTAGAATCCTATACCACTAAATTCCTGAACAAATCTCCGGAAAAAAAAGTTTCTCAAAAATGACTAAAAATACACTCATTTGCCTTAAAATACTTAGCTATGTCCATTTCTGTTGTTAAAATTCAGAAAAAATAAACTTTTTTGGTACGTCAACTTTTGATCACAGTAGAATCCTATACCACTAAATTCCTGAACAAATCTCCGGAAAAAAAAGTTTCTCAAAAATGACTAAAAATACACTCATTTGCCTTAAAATACTTAGCTATGTCCATTTCTGTTGTTAAAATTCAGAAAAAATAAACTTTTTTGGTACGTCAACTTTTGATCACAGTAGAATCCTATACCACTAAATTCCTGAACAAATCTCCGGAAAAAAAAGTTTCTCAAAAATGACTAAAAATACACTCATTTGCCTTAAAATACTTAGCTATGTCCATTTCTGTTGTTAAAATTCAGAAAAAATAAACTTTTTTGGTACGTCAACTTTTGATCACAGTAGAATCCTATACCACTAAATTCCTGAACAAATCTCCGGAAAAAAAAGTTTCTCAAAAATGACTAAAAATACACTCATTTGCCTTAAAATACTTAGCTATGTCCATTTCTGTTGTTAAAATTCAGAAAAAATAAACTTTTTTGGTACGTCAACTTTTGATCACAGTAGAATCCTATACCACTAAATTCCTGAACAAATCTCCGGAAAAAAAAGTTTCTCAAAAATGACTAAAAATACACTCATTTGCCTTAAAATACTTAGCTATGTCCATTTCTGTTGTTAAAATTCAGAAAAAATAAACTTTTTTGGTACGTCAACTTTTGATCACAGTAGAATCCTATACCACTAAATTCCTGAACAAATCTCCGGAAAAAAAAGTTTCTCAAAAATGACTAAAAATACACTCATTTGCCTTAAAATACTTAGCTATGTCCATTTCTGTTGTTAAAATTCAGAAAAAATAAACTTTTTTGGTACGTCAACTTTTGATCACAGTAGAATCCTATACCACTAAATTCCTGAACAAATCTCCGGAAAAAAAAGTTTCTCAAAAATGACTAAAAATACACTCATTTGCCTTAAAATACTTAGCTATGTCCATTTCTGTTGTTAAAATTCAGAAAAAATAAACTTTTTTGGTACGTCAACTTTTGATCACAGTAGAATCCTATACCACTAAATTCCTGAACAAATCTCCGGAAAAAAAAGTTTCTCAAAAATGACTAAAAATACACTCATTTGCCTTAAAATACTTAGCTATGTCCATTTCTGTTGTTAAAATTCAGAAAAAATAAACTTTTTTGGTACGTCAACTTTTGATCACAGTAGAATCCTATACCACTAAATTCCTGAACAAATCTCCGGAAAAAAAAGTTTCTCAAAAATGACTAAAAATACACTCATTTGCCTTAAAATACTTAGCTATGTCCATTTCTGTTGTTAAAATTCAGAAAAAATAAACTTTTTTGGTACGTCAACTTTTGATCACAGTAGAATCCTATACCACTAAATTCCTGAACAAATCTCCGGAAAAAAAAGTTTCTCAAAAATGACTAAAAATACACTCATTTGCCTTAAAATACTTAGCTATGTCCATTTCTGTTGTTAAAATTCAGAAAAAATAAACTTTTTTGGTAGGTCAACTTTTGATCACAGTAGAATCCTATACCACTAAATTCCTGAACAAATCTCCGGAAAAAAAAGTTTCTCAAAAATGACTAAAAATACACTCATTTGCCTTAAAATACTTAGCTATGTCCATTTCTGTTGTTAAAATTCAGAAAAAATAAACTTTTTTGGTACGTCAACTTTTGATCACAGTAGAATCCTATACCACTAAATTCCTGAACAAATCTCCGGAAAAAAAAGTTTCTCAAAAATGACTAAAAATACACTCATTTGCCTTAAAATACTTAGCTATGTCCATTTCTGTTGTTAAAATTCAGAAAAAATAAACTTTTTTGGTACGTCAACTTTTGATCACAGTAGAATCCTATACCACTAAATTCCTGAACAAATCTCCGGAAAAAAAAGTTTCTCAAAAATGACTAAAAATACACTCATTTGCCTTAAAATACTTAGCTATGTCCATTTCTCTTGTAAAAAAAATAAAGGAGTTGAAGGTGAAG